TTTTATGGTAGTGTGCATTGATATAGTGACTGTACTGTATTAATTGTAAAGAAAATTGTAATTATTAATTAAAAACACTTTTCACTGACTGACAAACACCAAATAATATTATTTTGGACTTTCATCAGAATGTTTTCTGCTTTGAGAGTCGCTATTGTTTGGTGTTTGAGTTGCTACGTCCAAGACCTCTCCATCAATACTTTGAGGTAAGTTTCAGGCCTTTTTGTTTCAGGTACAGTACAGTATTAACAGATCATGTTGCATCTTCATAGCATAATTATATTATTGGAACATTGAGTGATCAAGACTTTTCCAGAGTTTTAATTTGCAGAAATGTCAGTTTGAAAGTGAGGTAAGAAATTTGAGATTGTATAATTTAGAAAAAAATTATATTTAATTAATCGACATGTAAACACAATAAAATAGATTTCAATTTTCTTAAAAATATGACATATTCATGGGAAATGCACTGATTGTGGGAAAATGAGGAATTATATTTTTTTCAGACTTGCAGTACACCTTCCCTCTGTGTTCATAGGAGTTGCAATAAATATAATAAAATTAATCATCTGAGTGTACATTACACGTCCGTGATAATCATGCAATTACAGTATGTTATTCATATTTCTGTAGGCTTGGTCATCTCATTTCTAACTCAGAAATGTAATTACAACTTACACTTGCTCCAACTCATAATGAAAACTCTTTCTGTGCTATTTGCTTTGAGCTTATCATGACAGCAAAGAAAGTCATCTCCAGTAACCCTGAGGGCTTAAGTGGTTTTGCTATTGGGTCAGTGAATTCTGTCCTTCTCACTTGTCATGGGAAAGTTTTTTGACGGAAATTCAAATTACAGATTGAAGTAATGTAAGAGATGAAATGACACAATACTTCTCAACTTGTCATAAACATGATAAAGTGTTAATTAAAATAAATTATTTTTACCAATAGGAGGCAAATTTGAAAGTGATCAGAAAAATAATGTTACAAGTGAGTATTATTTTACACTGTGAAGTGATAAACAGCAGTAAGATTAAGAATACTTTTATTTTAATTACCCCCCTCCCCGATATAGGAGAAAGAAAAGACTGTACAGACCTTCACTCTGTAGAATGTTTTTGGCATTCCTTAAATACCTCCTCCTTTTGAGAACCTTTGGATCTACTACTGATTACAAGTTGATTATCACTTTTATTGTATAAACAGTAATGAAATACCAGGTGAGCTTGCTTTAGCTTCACACGTGAAATAACATGTATGTTAATTACTATGTTATCTTCTCACGTGAAAAATCATATTTGCTTAATGCTGCAGTACATATTAAATCACCCCTTTCACAGCAAAAGTGAAACATTTGGTTTCGTATTTCGTTGGTCTTTAGACAATAAATACAACAGCATAATGCCGTTGAAAAATATTTCAATCATTTGCTGTGCTCACTCGTGAAATATTTTTCAGCATTCAAAGATGTGAAATCTCTTATCTCTGTGCTGCCATGGTATTATATTATTATTAATAGTCTAATACCAACATGCATATTATGTGTTGTGCACATGTAGTTTTACATCTCAATAAGAAGATCCTCACGCATTTTAACACTACTGTCTCTATGTGCATGTCGTATTACAGCTTTTACAAGCCCTTGGATTCCTAAAAAGGTGAATTATGGAGGCTTTGAACATAGACAATACTGACAACTGCTCAAGACGGCAAGTGCAAG